TACATAAACCAATGGAACAGAATGCAGATCCCAGAAATGAACTCTGGTGTATACTACCAAGTGATCTTCTACAAGGGTGCCAGTCCACATGATGGAGGAAAAGGACAGTCTCTTCAACAAATGATGTAGGAAAAGTGGATAGTCATATGCAAAAGAATGAAGTTTGAGCTTTATCTTACCTCACAGACAAAAATTAACTCAATAAAGACGTAGACATAAGACCTAAAACTATAAAACCACTGGAAGAAAGCATAAACGACATTGAATTTGGCAATGATTCATTGGATATGACATCAAAAACACAGGTAGCTAAACAAAAACAGACAAATGGGACTACATCAAACATCTGTCCATAAAAGGAAACAAAAGGTGAAAAATCAACCTGTAAAACAGAAAAAGATATTTGCAAGTTATATATCTTACAAGGGGTTGATATCTGGAATATATAAGAAACTTCTACAATTCAACAATACCAAAAACAAACAACCTGATTTAAAGATGAACAAAGAATTTAATAGACAATTCTCAAAAGAAGACATAAGAATGGACAACAAGCATGTGAAAAGATGCTCAATATCACTAATCAAAATAAATGCGAATCAAAACCTCAATGAGATATCATCTTATATCCATTGGTGTGTCCACTGTCAAAAGAATAGAAAATGAGTTTGAATAAGGATACAGAGAAATTAAAGCCCTGTACACTGTTGGTAAAAATGTAAAATGATTCAGCTGTTATAAAAAATAGTATAAAGGTTCTTCAAAAATTAGAAATAAATGATTATATGTTCCAGCAATCCCACTTCTAGATATAGATCTAAAATAACTCAAAACATTATCTTATAGGAATACTTGCACACTCATGTTCTTTGTAGCATTACTATAGTCAACAGGTGGAAGAATTCCAAATGTCCATTGACAGATGAATGAATAAAGAAAATACAGTATATACATACAATGGAATACTATGCAGCCTTAAAAAGAGGGAAATCCTGTCACATCCTACAATATGGATGAACGTTGAGGACGCCGTGCTAAGTGAAGTCAGTCACAAAATGACAAATACCGTATAATTCCACTCATATGAAGCATCTCAAGTAGTCAAAATCAGGAACATTAAGTAGAAAGGTGGTTGCCAATGACTGCAGGAGGGGAGGGAAGAGAGGGAATTAATGTTTAATGGGTATAGAGTTTCAGTTCTAGAGATTTGTTGCACAGCAAGCTGAATATACTTATCACTACTGAACTATACTTTAAAATGATTATGATGGTAAATTTAATGTTGTTTTTTTAACTACAATAAAAAATGAAGGTAAAAGCACAATGTTTAAAATGTATCCATTTCATTTTGAAGATATAAAGACAAATCAAACAATGTAAAAGAAATGAAATGATTACCCAGATTTGAAATGAGAAGATCGCTATAATAGAAATGTAGGGTAAAACAACTGTTAGATGAATAAAGGAAACAAAACAATGTATGTTAATTTCTTTCTAGTCTTTCAATGTAATGTAGTTCCATTATTGCCTTCTGGTCCTTTTCTAGCCTAAACTATAATTTAGGATCCTCCATGGACCACTGTGGTGGGACATGCAGTTCTCTGGCAAGTTGTAACAAGAAAATAATTCAAAGCCTGATTTTATGAATTTCAACATTGTGATCTGATTTACATTGCTTTTGTCAGGCGGGGTGTGACCTATAGTATGGACATGGGAGACCTTAAACACCAGGGTCTTTTCTTAATTGGTGGAAAATATAACCAAAATGTAGACACAGGGAAAAGTGATTCAAGGAATCTGAATCAGCAGTACAGGTGTGCAAAATTAGGTAGATTTTTCCTTCGATTTTCTGATGTTAAAAACCATCCTGGTGGGAATGGAGAAATGATGCACAAGTTAGTAGGTCTTGGAGACCAACCCTTTTCTGCCACCAGTGGGTCATATCCCACTGTAAGCTGTAATCCCTCTGCTCATCAGATTTCTTATCTGTGCTGTGTGAATTGTACTAATGTAATGATTACAAAAGGAACATTGATCATGTGCCTCCTAGGCAGGCTCATTTTACAGGACATTGTCTTAACCACGAGGTTAATACTGTACTCATCCTGGGTGCACAGATAAGGAAATTAAGGATCAAGGATTATTATGCTGATGCAGCTTGCCCAAAGTCATGCAGCTGGTGGGTGGTGGAACCTGTACAGTCCTTGAACCTGGGTAGTGAAGCTCTGACATTGCCTACTTAGACCAATTCTCTGTAGAGTTCTAATGCAGAGGTCTAAAGCTGAAGTGAGGGCCCACTAAGCACAAGGCATTCAATAGTTGTCATGCGTTATGTCACAATAGCTCTTTGGTCATGGTTCTCCTATTTGATTCTCCTATTTCATTATAAAATAAGCAAACCAAAGGTCAACGTCATTGAGTCATTTAATCAAAACAACAGTGGAAGCTGAATTTGTGTCGAGGCTTCTCTGGTTTTGTTTGTTTTTTTTTTGAGACAAGAGTCTTGCTCTGTCACCAGGCTGCAGTGCAGTGGCGCGATCTCTGCTGACTACAAGCTCCGCCTCTCACGTTCACGCCATTCTCCCGCCTCAGCCTCCCGAGTAGCTGGGACTACAGGCGCCCGCCACCACGCTCGGCTAATTTTTTGTACTTTTAGTAGAGACCGGATTTCACCGTGTTAGCCAGGATGGTCTCCATCTGCTGACCTCGTGATCCGCCCGCCTCGGCCTCCGAAAGTGCTGGGATAACAGGGGTGAGCCACCGCGCCCGGCTGAGGCCTCTCTGTTTATTACATCTCAAGCACTCACTGTTTCACTTGTCTATGCAACTCTCTACCCCTCTGCAGCCCGCAGGCAGAGACAGGTTTTGCGGTGACTTGAAATGCTCAGGTCTTCTACTAAGTGCTAGCCCCCAGTTCCTTCTATTACTGTAGCCATTGATATGGAAAAATCCGCCAGTATTGGTCACTATAATAATTTATACGTTGCCCCAAAGAAGTTACTATTGTTATAAAATGTTTATTTTTCATTTTTGATATGTGTACTTATCCATTTAAAATGCATTCTCTAATTTGCTTTATGAGAACAATTAAATATAATATTTTAACAAGGAGACAACCTTTTTCTTCTGGAGAGCCCAAAAGTGTCCCATAGCCATAATGATATTTTCTTCAAAGGACTGATATAATTATTCAATTAGATAACAAATGGCATATAGTATGTGTTCAATAAAATTTAATCCCCTTCAATAATTAGTTAACATAAACTGTCAATTTATATCTGCTTTTACTTAGCATATGATTGAAAAAATCAGGAATGCAAGTCTGGGAACACAGAATAAACACTCAAGCCGTGACCTTTCTTTATTTTATTGTATTTATTATTTATTTATTTATTTATTTATTTATTTTTAAGACAGAGTCTCGCTCTGTTGCCCAGGCTGGAGTGCAGTGGCATAATCTTGATTCACTGCAACCTGTGCCTCCTGGGTTCAAGCAAATTCTCCTGCCTCAGCCTCCCAAGTAGTTGGGATTACAGGTGCCTGCCACCACACCCTGCTAATTTTTGTATTTTTAGTAGAGATGGGGTCTCACCATGTTGGTCAAGCTGGTCTTGAACTCCTGACCTCAAGTGATCCGCCCACCTTGGCCTCCCAAAGTGTTTGCTGTGTTTGCCTAGGATCTAAGGTTTTTGCTGCCACTGACAAGGGTCAGGAAGGAGGTATACTTTGATTTAGGGGCACTAAGTCCTAGGATGAGAGCAGTAAAACTGGAGTCAGAAAAGCCAAGTCCAGTCCTCAGCATTTATTTACTAAGTCTATGACCTCTTTGAATCATTTAAATTTCCTGTTCTTGCTTTCTCTTGTAAAACAGGAAAAGAAAAAAGATGCATTCTGCTTTGTTTGCAGGCATGAACTAAACAAGTATGTTTAGTTTTTACGGGTATTTCTGTCATTTTCCCATACTTTCATTAGTCCACAAGAAAGTGGTGTTAAAGGCTTATGTTTCTTCCAATTTGTGATTACCAAGAGGCGCTTGAGAACTCCAGGATTTCCATTTCTATAAAATCTAGCACATTATCAGTAAAACATCTTGACATTTATTTTAAATGGATTATTTATCTGCTACGAACCATGTGACATGCTTCTTGTTATGTGATAATAACTCCATTATTTAGACAATTTAAAATTCCATTCAAGCAATAGTTGTATCCATGGACCAGCCATTCAAAGAGTAATTTTTCTTTAGTCATTGATTTCCAAATTCGACTTTACTCCTCTCTCCTTTAAGCCACTTGAATTACATCGTGACATTGTTCATTGTTGGCGTGAATGTGTATGCGTGTGTGTATGTGGTAGTGATGGGGGTGCCTTTCTTCAGTGGTGCATCATTTCCTACTTTGGGCCTTTTTGGAAATGTTATTAAAAATTTTGATTATAGAATGGTACTGCATATTCACAGCATGATGCATTCATCAAAATAAATCTAGCCAAAGCATTTCATTTGTGGATTTGTACACCTGAAGCATTAAAATAAGAAATGTTAATTTCTTGCAGACTACTACCAGATGATTTTAAATATCTGCTAAGCAGGAATGTCTGTTCCCATGTGGGGAATTTCCATAATAAAATCCTGGCACCCTCGCTGAAGAGTACAGTTTTATAGAAACAGAGAAAAACAACAGCAAGTATTTTCCCTGAGGACAGTTTTAGCTACAATTTCCCAATGCTGCTTAGTTATTTCTGTCTTATTTTATGCTTTTGTTTTGAAACATAATGCAATTTTACCTGGATGCACTCCCGGATAATCAGGAATAGCTCAGTATGTTGTCTGGCTCTGCCAAATGCAAGACCTCCAGAAAATCAGAAGGCTCCACCGCCTTGTCCCTTCCCCCACCCACACCTCCAGCTGGGAGAAAAGGGTTAAGGATTATTGGAAAATAGAGGAGAAGGGAGGGAGCCCCAAGGAGGCCCACGAGCGGGAGGCCGCGCCTCTGGGTGCAGCGGAGCTCCGAGCGCTGTTGTGTGTTTGGAAGGAAGGATGCTGCTGCCAATTTCGGGGACCGCTGCTGCGAGGAGTGGGCGTGGCCTCGGCGGTGTGGCTGCTTGTTAGGAAAGATGCTGAGTGCTTTTCAGTGAGGAGTCGGGGCGGTGTGTGTGTGTGAGAGAGAGAGAAAAGAGAGAGAGAGAGAGAAAAGAGAGAGACGGGGAGAGAGAGAGGGAGAGAGACGAGAGGGAGGAGGGAAGGAGAAAAGACGGAGGGAGGTGAGGAGGAAGGGAGGGGGAGAGACAGAGACCTAGAGGGGCTGAAGACCCAGACGGAGCTGGGAGAGCTACTGAGAACAGGTCTGGAGCGCTCCGAGAGCCTCTCAAGATCTTTTGGGGGAGCCCAATAAATGTGAACATGGGATCTGTCACGGGAGCTGTCCTCAAGACGCTACTTCTGTTATCTACTCAAAATTGGAACAGAGTCGAAGCTGGGAATTCCTGTAAGTATACAGCAAATGATTTAAAACTTGCAGGGGGGCTCTCTGCAAAACTTTCATTCTGTTGTTTTGATGATGATGATTTGCAGCTGGGGTTGCTGCAAAGCGTATTGCTGTAAACGAAGCATCACTTAAAAATCTTGCCAATGTGACCGGTTAACACTTGTCTCTCCTCTTGGTCTGGTCAAAATAGGCAAAGTGTCATTTCTCTTTTTGTCTACTCGCAGAATCTTACCCTCTGGTCTTTGAATATTCATTGAGAATGCCCAAGTTCTAGTAAAACATGAAATTATCATCTTATCTGGGGAATAGCCTGTGAATGTCTTCATTTCTTCCTTTTTAAAGAACTACCGAATGTTATTGGAATTATCTCTAACAGGAAAACTACCGGCAGACCTTACGTTATGCTGCATTGGCTTAGATTTCTGAAGTTTGCAATTGGGCAGACCAGTAGCTGGCTGCATCTTTAAAATGATGCAGGCTAATAACTGAAATGTACTGCAGACTTCAGGAGCACCAGCACTGGCAGAGGCGAATCTCAATATTAAGAGCCGTGCCCTCGCTGCTAAGAGAATGAGACTCAGTGCTCTCCTCAAAGAGGAGCCTCTTCCTACATTTTGCTTAAAGGAAAACCAGTCAGGTGATCTTTCAAAAGTAGGATTCCTTTGTGGTTGAATGCTTAACTCCATACATTTGTAATGGAATGTTCTGATGAAATAGAACCTATTTAGGGAAGATTGAAACCTTATTTATAATTTAGATATCATCCAGAATAATTTGGCAGACTGCCTTCATCCACTCTTTATTAGAGATGGAAAAAGTTTTAAAAGTTATCTTTGGCTTAAATTCTCTAAATGGTAGAATTTTCCCCGCCTGATTAATGACAAACAAGCTTGGCAAATGCAACTTTTTATTTTTTCTTGGATTTTAAAGGAAAAGCTCATTTGCTTTTCAAGAAATGGCTATGAGGCCTGTCCAGGAATTTATGTTGCTGCTGTATCATCAGGCTTAGATTTGGGGAAAAGAAGCAGTAATCAGGCATTTCTATGTCACATCGCTTGAGTACACTAAAGAGTTCTGATGTGGGAAAAACGTTACAAACTCATGAGCACAAGTCAAATGTCCACTCGGAGTGCCTAGCTCCTGTGATTTCATGTTTCAGTTCAGAATGAGCTCATTTAATGTCACAGAGTATCCATCACTCTGAAGGAAGGAAATTCACTCCAGGTGCTGCACATCAGATTCAACTTTAGTTTGAATGTTGAGATAATCTCATAAATCAATAAAATGTGTATAATTTCACCTAGTCAAAACCTTGGAATCTTATAATGGTAGCATTTGACAAACGTTGCAACGTACAAGCAAACAACACCACCCACACACAAATGGAAGTTCTGTAGAAAAGGCATAAGTAATTCATCTTCTAGCCACTAAAGTTCAACCAAAAAGAAAAGCACTAGAGGTCACTCTTACAATGTAAAGCACATCACCCCAAGCATCCTTCCCTCAAGAAAAGCAGAGCTTAAATCTGGCCTGTACTCAGTTCTTTCCACTAGACTATCTGTAGTTGGGTTTAAAATATATTAATCTAATTAATCGGGCTGTTGTCTATGTTTGTTTGTTTTCTTGAAGCTCAGTAAAAAGTGTAGGATGTACATCAACATTAAATAGCTTTCTTTTGCAATGTATCTCCTTAGAAAAGAAAAGGTGCTGAAAAAGATCTGAGGAGAGTGTAATATTTATGTCTGCTTGGCTCTGGTTGGATCCCTCATGATACTTAAAATTTTAGTGCTGGTTCTATATTCTTTCAGCCTTGGTTTGTTCAGGAAGTAATCTAATGCTCTTTTAAACATCTGATGAACTTGCAAAACCTACACGATTTTTCATTATAAAAAACATTTAAAGTTGGAGTTCTTGGTTACCATACATGTGGAGTTGACTGTTCTTCAAGTGTCAAAAATAAAATGAAATGACCTTATATAATTAAAGTTGCCTTTAGTAATTTATTGTGAATATTTTGACAATATGATTTGCGGCAGTATATGTAAAAGAAAATATTTCGTTTCTCAATTTCTATTTCATTTTTCAATATTTAAGAAGTATTTTCTTTTTGGAAGAAGTAAGGTCCACTTGTACCAAGCCATTGTGGAAAGTACTTCCTATGTTTCATCGTTTTTGGAAGAACAAATACCTATATGTTTCCCAGCAAGATTGGAATTTAGTGTAAGGACAAGCAACTATCAACCAGCGTATGCATTTCTAAAGTATTATAATGACTACAATAATTCTTCTGGACAAGACTTTATATTAAAAAAAAGTGAATCAGTGTTGAATACCAATAGTAAAATCAGAAACAATTGAATGTAAATAAATAAAATTAAAGGTCTGTCTCAAGTGTCTAGAAAGACCTTTTTCCCCTTTATTTACAGCTGATGAGCCAGGAACAAATCTGCCATCTACAGAGTCAGCCCAAGGTTGCCAGTTTGAAATCTTTCATGGGACAGAACTCTGCAAAACCAGTACAGCTCAGGGATTAGGTGCACCTTAATTTGAATGTTAATTGATCCAATTAAGCAGCAGGGAAACTTTACATTAGAAGGATTCTGTTCAAAGACAAACATATATGTTCACATATATGCATATGTGCTCATTTGTATATAGATATTGTGTATGTAAATATCTGTAAACTACTAGACTGATGTGCTTGCATATTTTCAGTGGCCCTGTTAAGTACTTATCTGTCTAAAGATGAAATATGTTCAGAGAACCACATTCTCTGCCTACTAGTATCCTGTCTGACATTTCAAAAGCAGTGGACTAGCCATCATTTTTTTCTCTTTGTTCTCATCAAGATGAGTTTTTAAAGTTATATTGAAGTGTCCCTTTCATCAAAGTTTAGAGATGGATCCTTGTAGAAGGGCGTGCTCTTTGAGAAACTGCACTGGCTGTTCTTGGTTTCTTTGTTTGCTACTAAGAGACGTGCATTAAGAACAGAGACATTTCTCTATTTTTTAATTGGTCTTATAAATCCAGTTTTTCAACAAGACATGGTTGAAGACGGGGTCAACTTACCCCCAAAGAAGGAATGGGTGCAGTAGTAAGGCTGATGAGAGTTTGCTTTTACTTTTACTCTTGCAGGTCATATGAGGGGGGCTCTCTAGCCACTGGTATATTGAGCCCTACTCTTGAGAATAATTAATGCTCACCAATGACTTAATTAGAAGTTAACATCTCACTGTGTTCTTTCTTTTCTCTGATGGAAATAAAGGCCATATCTGATATCTACCCTAAAAGAAGCACTGAAGGATAGGTGAAAGCAAATTACCTGAGTAGATGATCACTCTTGTGGGCCCTGGGAGACAGCTGGACAGATTCTCACATTGTTAAAACTTAACCTTGTAATTCTTTCTAGAAGCTACTTTCTTTTCCTTCCCCCCTACCCCGTCATATTTATTCCTATAGCATAAAATAACTAGAATGCAATAGTAAAGTACTGATAAAATGTAGTTCTATGAGGCAATGTATAAATGGCTAGCCCTTATAAAGGTCAGCACGTACTTTGACTCACTTTTCTAATAGCAATGGTGATTTATTTTCATCTATTCAGTCCATTTTCTCCACTTCTTATTACATGCATCTCAACAATCTCTGATAAAGGTAGCCTCCAGCTCTGGAGATAACATAACTCATGGCCAACATGAGGATCAAACCTAACTTTCACATAATACCTGGTGCTTACTCTAGGCAATAAAGATTATTTTCTTCTAAAATTAATTTTGGAATTTATATCATATATAAGCAATTTCTGTATTGGAGCTAATGAGTATATCAAGATTAAATTGATTTTTGTTAAAGAAAATAGATTAATAGAATTGTATAACATCTATTGTAAGATAATACAATATTAAACTCAGGTTGGTAAACTGTGGCCCATGGGCCGAATCTGACCTGGTGACTGTTTTTGTATGACCCATGGGCTAAGAATGGTTCTTCCATTTTTAGCTGAAAAAAATTAAAAGAAGAATTCTTCATGGTAAAAAATAATTATATGAAATTCTAATTTTATTCTTACACTCATTAGCAAACCTACGTGACAAAAATTTCTACTCAAATATTAGTATTACATTTTGAATTTTATCAATTAAATTTTATTAAGATTGTTTACCCTCTTACTATGTAACTACTTACATAAGATTCTTTACTCTATGGCACTTTATATAAAAAGTTAATTGACCCTGATTTAAATAATATACAATAAAATGATAAGACATGAAAAGTGTATAAATTACACTTCCATGATAAAATTTAGTCTTAATTATTTAGCACACAAGTACATACTCGTAAAGTTGTGGTACTGAATGCAATGCTATTATTGCCTGGAACTATAACAGAGGATCTCTTCAAGTTAATGTCTTCCTTATATGTTTTTTCTTAAAGCCTTTATTGTTCAAAAATCTTGATATTTCAGTGGGTATAAATTGTTGGTAAAATTCCCACAGTTTTAATCTCAGGTAATCGTGTTAGGATAAGCTATTCAATGAAATATATAAGTAATATAAGTTCAATGAAGTGTATAAGTAGTATAAGTTCAATTAACTGTATAAGTAATTGCAACTTAGATATTTTGAACAAAAATTCTGCTGTTATTTTACATTTTCATGAGCATAAAGTATTCCACTCTATCTTAATCAGAAACTTACATTTGGAATCAAAGATCATATGAGGAAAATGTTTTTGATAGAAGAGTATTTTTGCTCCTGTGACTTTTAAAGCAGCAGCTTTCTAAAAATTCTGAAATTGACAAACTTTCTAGAATAAACTGAAAAATAGATTTTCATTTAAGCACTGCCCACTAAGAGCTCATGATATTTAAGCAAGTGATTTTCACTTACCCATGTCAGTATGATAAATTTCTGTGTAAATGACTTGCATATTTGAAATTGTATTTACTTTAGAATTCCAGGAACTGATCTTTGGCCTCGTTTTATTTACACTATACTTTT